CACAAATTTACAAAAAAATTACTCTCAAAATTTAATTGAAAAATTTAACTGAGATATTGATATATTAATGATAATAATAAGTATATTTTTCTCTTTTCTTTTATAGCTCGTAACACATATCAGGATGGAGTGAATTTCATTCGTAACAAGTTCACTAGTTTAAATCGTAACCCAACCAGAAAGACAGTATACACACACGTCACATGTGCCACTGATACCAGCAACATACAGTATGTGTTTCAATCTTGTACTGAGATTATTATATCTGAACATTTAAGAGATACTAGACTAATGTAGATATGTTCATGTACTTGTATGTGTGTCTGTTTTTAATCTATAGCTCTCTCTCTCTCTCTCTCTTTATTTCTATCATCTTTTGTATCTTTTGTTTATTTCTATTTTGTTTATTCTGTATACTCTTATCTCTTCCCCTCTCTCTCTTTTTCTGTCAATTTTCTTTATTTTTCTATTCTCTCTCTTTTAATGATACACATTATTTCACTTATTGTGTTTTGTGTTTTGTCTTTTTGTTACATTTTTAACCACCTCTCACTATCTCACTCAGTTTTATTATTATTATTATTATTATTATTGTTGTTGTTGTTGTTGTTGTTGTTGTTTTGATGGTCTTGGAGAATAAGAAACAGAGAAACAGCAAGTGATTGTGGTTCACCTTACTGTTTCATGTACAGTATCAAACAACCAGAAACTCAGTTTTTGAAATTTGAATTTAAAAATTAATTACTAATAGCTAATAATACCAAAAAGACAAAGTTAATCATTAATTAAAATGTACATGTAATTGTGGCAGATTTAATTTGCATGTAGTATTAAAAACATTTGCCTATTTTCTTTCTTATGTGTTGTATATATGTACCTAGTTAATTAAAGCTAGCTGTATCTCTCATGTAAGAATAAAGGTGTGTGTATGGTCTAATTAAAAAGTACTAATAATTATTCCTGTGTTACTTTTCTTCGCTTTGCCTGATTCCCTAAAAGAAAAACACAAAGATGCAAGTAATGCATAAAATAATGTGGGCATAGCACTGAAAGATGTGAGTTTTGTTGTAATTTACACATTTCCTGGGATGGCGTCTGCAAAGTTTATGAACAAGTAGTTTGCATGTATTTCACCAGAAGAAGTCTAGTGTATAAACTATTATATCAATATGGCTAAATTCTTAATCAATTTTAGGACTAGCAAAATTCATGCTTATTATGTATACCTTCAGTTTCTGACTCATCATCAACTGGTGCATGAGTGGTGAACATTATCAGGTATAGACTGACCTAATGTATTGAGATATAATGACTATATTGATCACTGATAATGTACACACACACACACTCACCTAACTGGTGTAATATAGAGGTAGCAATATCTTTTAGTGTATGATGTTGTTGGTTTAAAAATACATGGCATATATCAATAAGATACTGCTTTGGATTAAGAGAGGATTCCAACTGTCGTTGTATCACAGACACTAATTGACTTGATTTCCTATAATCAGATATTCCTGTTACTGTTTGTATATTCTCTTTAGTATCCAGTGGTATCAGTCCTTCAGCATACAGTGCATCAGTTACTCTGTAAAGGTTAGTAGTAATAGCATCAGTGAGTTTAACAGAATGAGTCCTTAATATATCCTTTGGATTACCTGCATAATGTATCAGTTAATGAGTGTTGTAGTATGCAATACAAATGGAATTTGCATGATTGATACTCACCTTCAAGGGTATTGCTTAGGTTATTTTCTTGTCTTTCATGTTTAGCTCTATTAATCTCTTCCTGAGTCATAAACCAGGACCAATACTCATCACATTGAGGGTCTGATAAGTCCTGCCATTCACCTGTTCTACTACATTTGATAAGCACATTATCTTCAAGAGTAGCTACATGTTGTTCTTTATCTTTGCAGGGACAGTAAAAAGTTGCAACTGGTTTTTCATAGTCAATAATTTTGTCTTTCATGACTTCATTAATGGCTCTCTTTATACAATTATTTATACTCTGTCTGTAGCGGAGTTCTTCACAATAAATTGTAATCCAGTAAAGCTGCTCTACCAGTAATACTTTGCACATTCTGTATTTATTAATTTTCTTCTGTATGGTGAAAAAATTTGAGAAATTGCGTTCTTTTGTAATGATGTCCCATTTTTCATCACCAGGATAAGAAAGAAGCTGGACAATAACAGCACAAAACAGGCCCATAGGTACTGGTTCATCATTAAAATAATAAAGAAGAGGAGGTATTTCAGAAAAGTCAGAAAGATCAGAAACATCTTTGACAGGAAGCAGTGCAGGCATCAAAAAAACTACATCTTTTTCATCTGTTGGTATCAAAGCAGCAATCTTAAGGTATTCAAATAAACTCAAAAGAATGCTTTCATATCCCTTAAGTACACCAGCATTTTTTTCTAAAACTTCAGTTGATAAATAGCCTTTTGCAGCTAACTGTGCTACTTTGTCAGGGCCATCCTTTAATTCATCCAGAGGCTTACAAACTTTAATCATCAATTTTTTAATAATGTTAATGACAGCATCCAGCTTAACAAATACAATATCCTTTGCTGGAGAATCATGATAATAAAACAGCAATTTTAATGCATGAAAAAAGTTTAGTGCACTTTTAACTTCTTTTTCTGGCATATCTAGCAATTTACCAAACCCTATACATGAAGATAATTTTAATATTCCTTCATTCTCTTTTGCTTCATTACGAAGAATAACGCCAAAGTAATGCCACTTCAATGGTACTTCAATTTCATAAGCTTGCTCATTCAATGCTTTACTTATAGTTTCTATTGCTGGGTCATCATCAAACTCACCGTCATGTTTAGCCTTTCTGCCATCTACTTCATGTATGAGATCATCATCATCTGTATATACAATTTGAATAGATTCAGATTGTAACATTGATTTTAATTTCCCTCTTTTAATTTGAATATCTTCTATTCCTGTTTTTTGTTTATATATGTCACTATGTGTACCAATAGTAATAACTTGAAGCTTTTCATTTTTAGGTGCCTTAATATGTTGCTGACCTTCAATTATTGATCTAAACTGCTTGGTATTTGAATTTACAACAGAAATAACTTGCCTTAGCATATCATCAACTTTTAGAGAATATTCATTAAAATTAATTGTGATATCAGGTAACTTCATTGATGTTGAAGACTTATCATTGAGATCCTTAGCTAGATTAACCACAAGAACAAGGACTGAGCTACAAGGCATAAAAGCTAACAATAGCTTTTGGAATTGTATTTGACCACCTGAATCAAAAAAATATAACCAGTCTCTATTAAAACCAGCTTCACTGGTGCGATGCTTCTCTTTTAAATATTTAAGGACATCATAGTTTTGTACTAGATCATCTTTAAAAACCTCTTCTACATCCATCTTTTGTTCATGTACTGGTATAAAGTTATCAATATCTTCTACTGGTGAATTAACATTAACAACTGGCATTATGCTGCTGTCTTCAGTATTGAGATATTGCACTGCATTTGAGGTTAGAGCTGCTTCTGATGATGGGCTTGTAGGAATAGGATTAATATCATGAGATGCATAAAACATAGCTCCCATGTCTCTATCATTTTGTTCTATAGTTCTATTTGCAGCAATGGGACTACTTATAATTTCATTTGGAATTTTTAAACCGGATGCAATTTCTTTTAGTTCGGCAATAACTATGCCGTCCATTTCATCATCTGATACTAGCTTCCATCTGTTATCAACTGTTTTACCATAGCGATTAATGGAAAAACTCCCAAATGCCATACAAGGAGCTTCAATTAAGTTGGTGCTGACTTCATCGTAAGACAATTTAAGAATCAATGATTTAATACAAGTTTTACCAACTTGAGCTTCCCCTTGTATTATAGCCACACTAACTTTATATTTCATGAATTCACTTTCTTTAAGAGTATGTTTCAGATCTTCTTGAGTTTCTATACTGAATAACTGTAAATTTTCTGGAGTTTCTTCACTGAATAATTGATTGTGACCTATAGCAAGAGTATTTGTAATTAATTTGTACATTATAGTAAATATTATAATTTACCAAGCTCACTTGTTATTGTAGATAAATTTACTATTGGTAGTGGTTTGTGTGGTTGTTCTTTTCTGTGTCTATCAATCAATGTCTTCTTTGGATCTTTAAGAGTATCCTTCAGGAGAGGAGGAGGAGTGTATCCAGTATTAATCTGAATATATTCAAGTGATGGATGGATGAAGATAGTTTCATATAAATGTTGTACTAGTTCCATCCAGCTAGGTTGAGATGACTCTTTATTAATATCTCTACACTCTATCCTCAGTAGTCTGATGGTTGTATGTGACTGTAACATGTTAGTAACAGCAGGTAGTGCCTGTTCATAAAACAATGGTGTCATTATTTGTTTCTTCTCTTCCTCACTACAGTTACTGTATGACTGATCTGGTTTGAAGTTCACTTTAAGTTCTGTGAGATGGTTCTTTTGAGAGATGACATTAAAAAAAGCTCTTATCTCTTCATTCAGTGGAAGTGGAATGGATACACTCAACTGCTGTAGACTGGTGTTGTGTCTGAGACCAGTTGATAGGAAGGACAGGAATGAACTGCGAAGAATTTCACTAAACCAGTTATTAATCTCAAAGTATTTCAGTGTTTGGTTCTGTGTTAGCATGTCTTGTAGACTAGTACCCATACTGCTGGTATTTACTCTCTCCTCCTTTATCTTCACACTCAGAGCTTTAAGTGTAGTATTGGTTTGTAGAATAGTAAATAGTTCAATAGCACTCTCAG